AACTACACTTATGACGTTTTTCTAAATAAAAATACATACGTTTCCGAGTTGATAAATTATTTAAAAAACGTAAAAACACTTACACTTTTTTACTTGTGCAAAGGCGACATGCCATCTGGCAATTGTACGAGAATTCTCTTTACGAAATCACAAATCGAAACGTACACGGTTTTTACGAAGCAAGTACGAGAAGGATTAATGCGACTAATGCACCTGTGTCCATAATTTGTAGTGAACAATTTCTCAGCAAATCACTCGCAATCGAAGAACGTTATTCAGAAAAATTATAAGGGACACTGTACGAAGTAGAAATGACGATCGAACCGTGACGTTAATAGTTATATAAGGATTGTCGCTGTAATTATTCGCCGTAATTACTCGTCGGATTAAACCGTGCTCTACGTCGTCCAAATCTTTGACGCGCCTCTCTTGGCGTGAACGATTACGCGAGTAACTACCGTAAAAGAAGTTGCACAAGCGACTTCGCGTCTCGCTTTTACGCGCGCAAACATCTCGCAACGGTTGTAAGAATGATCGTAAAATGGCATTTGAATTCACGCCGGAGAGAAATCGAAACTGCAGATACGTATTCCCCTGCCAGGCCGCTCCTCCTCGATTGTATTGTATTTTCTGGCTTGCATGTGAAGCGTGTGTAACTTTATCATCCGGAATTTTCTCCCACCTGCAACATCCAATCCGATTCGAAAAAAAGTGGAAATTCTAGAAGAAGTCAGTGCACTGGTTTCATCATTGCTTCAGTACATTTTATTCTTGGTTTCGCTCACAGAAAAAAAATATTATCGCGCAAACAATGATCACGGACTCAAAAGCATCGTTGCTATTATTCTGCTATTATCCTGACGATTATAAAAGCGATGACTAACTCTTGTAACTGCTTACGTAATACAAATCTCACACAATATTTGCTCCTTGAAAAAACGTAAATATTTATTTATCTGTTATATATTATTATAAAGTATTTGTCACGGGGGGGGGGGGGGGTAAACCGCTGACTAAAATCGTGTACACCAATGTTCGCTAATGTCCAATGGGCATTGCTTATTATCTTATTTTACCTTATTTTCTCTTATTTTATTTTTTTTAGATTCTTTATAATGCCCTAGCAAAACTAAATAACATCCAGTAATGCCCAAAAAATACCTAGTAATGCCCGAAATCTGTACACCACGATGCCCTCAGCGGTTTACCCCTCGATTTATCAGTATTAGTTATGGGGATGCCGGAGTAATACTGCACCTTTGCACCTTTCGCTCCTAAAACTGTCAATTCATGAAAACATTTGTGTAATATACAAATTGGCTTTTGTATACAGACTGACTTTCCACCAATCGGATTAAATTAGAGAACAGCATGTAACCCATAATTTATTCGAAGGAATAGATTTTTTGTTAGACTTCTAAACTTAATTTAATGACAATGCTGTTTTCTAATTTAATCCGATTAGTGGAGACTAGTCGGTCTGTACACAAAAGCCACATAATTTGTATATTGCACAAATGTTTTCATCAATTGACAGTTCTAGATGCAAAAGGTGCCAAAAGTGCAGAATCACCTCAGCATTCCCTTAACCCGAGGGGGAAACCGCTTACCAAAATCTTGTACACCAATGCCTACTAATGCCCAGTGGGCATTACTTTATCTAATTATCTTATTATATTTTATCTTTATAATGCCCCAACAAGGCCTAATGCCCAAACTAGTGCCCAAAAATGCCTAGTAATGCCCGATAATGCAGCAAATCAGTACACCATAATACTCTCCCCGGTTTACCCCTCGCCTTATCCCTGAGCTGGCACTGTGGGATATTAAACGCCCCAGCCTAGTTCAGTTCAAATTTAAGTCCCCGTACCAAAATTGTACTTGTGCTCTGGGGAAAAAAAGACAGCAACCTATTTCGGGACTCACGATTAGTAATCGAATTGTTTGGATTGTTCGTAAGGGTTAAACATAATAATTTATTAGATAAATAAGATTAAATTACAAATAAAGTTAAACTTTAATTCTGAAATAAATACGTTGTATTTCGTTGAAAAGTTTATATATTATATTTTTATGTGTAATATTTTACGAAATAATTAACATAACACAACATGCCGTTATCATATGATATTCGCTATTAATATTCCATTTCTGTAAAGCTCTTTTTACTGGAATGTCTGCACTAGTTTTCGAAAGTCGGCACTTTCACGTGGCGCAGAATATTTTCTTAATAAAACCAGAGTGCAGTTAGATACCAAATCGATCATAATTGGCGCCGGGACCAAGGGACAGGTTAATCGAAACGTTAATAAAGCGATGATCCTCGCTATGAGCTTGTCCCATACTTTCCTATAGGAGGAACTTGTTGTGCGAGATCGAGACGTCTAAGAAGTCGCGCGAAAAGTCCCGAGAGTAAACTTATTTGCGCCGACGCAAGTAAATTTACGGCTTAGTATTCCAAGTTCCGTGCACCTAAGCGACCATTAGCAGCAGACGTTCCGCATGAAATTAAGATCCTCTCACTCGTACATTGTAGATAATGTTGTAAATCTGGTTTGTATGTTGGTTACGTGTCTATCGGCGGCGAGCGATTAATCATCCGCCGCGGTCCGCAAGAAAGCAAGAAAAACATTCTGCCGTTTTTTATTTTTTCATTTCAAACGCCGGCGTTTCCACTTACAATAAACGAAACTAATTCTGCCGCTTTCGAAAGCGTTAGCGGCAACAGGATGTGCGCGCGATCAAGTATTTACAGAGCCACGCGATTTTCTTGAATCGCGCAATTTATATAAATCAGGATTACTGCGTGAATTTCTCTTTCCAAGACGAGATAATTATCATTAGTGCGCGTATCGCGATACCCGGCAATTATCGCGGTACTTAGTAATTATTACCCAACCAGTAGTAAAATTGTAGCAAAAGCAAAATATTATTCTTAGCACTCACAGAACACACTCTCTCGCTTTACCCTGTTACTTAAAAATATAAGGTACCTACGCTCTGTCTTCTGCTAGGTCTGCTTCCTTTCATCTTCTTATTTCGCCATTAAATCGCAGCGGTTATCGCGTTTTCGCGTATGTAAACGGGATCGAGTCGGGTCTAAACGGCGAATGCGCGTTTGTCTCAGATTTCATTCGCGGTTTAACTCATGTTCGCGGTTTCGTTGGACGTTCTCTTTGGGCGTTGTCTCGTAAATTTTACCAATGTGTCGTCACATAAGATCCACCGCAGCCGCTCCGGAAGGGAGAGAAAGATAGAGACATGCGACCAGTCGAGGTCTCGTCAGATGAAGAAGACGAAACTGTCTTACCTGCAATAACGTCGCTATGCGACACTCCTTTTCAAGGCGTCTGACATTATAGTAATTTCGAAGCGTTTTGCACATTACTTTGTAGAAAGTCCTCTTGCTGATTGTGTTTCTCTCACTGAAAGCGCATGGGCGAAAATGCGTCGCTCGAAATGCGGTGGAATTTCACCTGAGTATCAAAGTTGGAAAATCTACTTGGCAGAAACGGGAAGAAAGAAAATAGTCATTAACGGTACCGTTTTTACTTTTTGCTTTGGATCCTTGTTCCGAAATACTTAAGTGATCTTTGTACGTTCCATTTCTTTTCATACAATTATCAACGGTACTGTTTTTACTTCGGGTTTTGCTCTTTGTTCCGAAATAATTATGTTATCTTTGTATTGTACATTTTAGACAGTCTTTCTTCGTTACATTTTTTTTTTACAGTAATGCAAGATTTCTCCCGAGATTTCTCTCAAGATAATATTCTTAGCCACGCACCTCTTTTTCAGGCTTAACACAGCTTCATTTTCGCTGAGCTACCTGCGGTATGAAACTTCGCGATCTCATTTCTTTACAATGTTTATCCCTTCGATTCCGCTCTACCTGGTTTTGGAAAAATTTCGCTTCGTAATGTACGCCACATTTCGATGGAAAGAAAAGCCGAGATTATTAATAAGATCCGATGAGACTCCGCCACGTAGCTTTTTCCAGAGCCGCGTATTTAATGTCTCGGAGGAAGAAAAAAGAGGGCGCGCGGCCTGTAATTAGCACGACCGCTTGACGTGTGCAATTAGACGAAAGTGTCCGCTCGCGCGCGCGCGCGCGCGCGCCTAAGCGGCCGCCGCCGCGCTTGGTGCGGCCGGGACTCGCGAGAATTGGAGCGTACTCTCTCGGATACGGTCGGAGCGTCCATTACGGCCGTGCGACACGCCGTGAAAAAGCTGTCCCCCGCGAAAAAGCCGCGAAACGGAGCCGCATAACAGAACCGGCGCGTCGGACTTCTGGTTCCGTGATCGCGGATGCGTGCAGTCGACGCTTCTGGCTGCACTCTCGTCGCGAATAGGGTCGCCGATACTTCGCATCGACGCCGGGCAGTAAAAATCGATACCTCTCTTAAGGCCTGTGCCAACGAGCCAAGAACTGTGTCCAAGTTTCGAGAAATATGTAGCCAATTAACTTACAGCTTTTCCGCAAAAGATGCAACATGATTGGCTACACATTTTTCGGAACTAGAACTCGGACCAGTTCTTGAATCGTGGACACAAGACATTAAAGCCTGCTGTTTTATGCTGGAACTTGGTCCAAGTTCTTGTTTCGAGAGATGTGTAGCCAATCAACTTGCAGCTTTTCCATAAACGATACAACTTGGCTGGCTACACATTTTTCGGAGCTAGAATTCGGACGCAGTTCTTGAATTGTGGACACAAGGCTTTAGAATCGCTAAGAAGTCTGGATAGAGATTTTCGCAAATGTTCGTCGTTATCGATGTGCAATGTCTGATAATCGTGGCGGATCGGTTTTTAGAAAGATTAAATCACTAGTAGAAAATTTCTTTGCCAAAAGCGTATAAAAGTATATTATAATACAATCCATCAAGGACTGTGACTTTTATAATGAAACGATTTTTAGTAAAATTAACAATTGTTACAATTTCGAGTGGCTCAGTGCGTAACAGCGCGAATAACATGAACACGATCATTTTCTGTTGCAGGTGAGTCTAAAGGCAGGTCCTTACCTAGAACTGCTCGAGTAGAACGGGACCGCAATGTTCGAGGTGAGTGTCGAACGATCTCGCCTTTTTCCCCTCTTCGTCTCATTCCTCTTCACGCTCCTTTTTCAACCTGCATTTGAGAAATTTACATATTACATCCAGTTGAAAAATTCAATAAAAGGATATGATGTATCAAAGCTCGCAATGAAGCTCGAAACAATTAAAATCTTTCGTTATATAAGCGCGTTGCGGTTTTCTTTATTAACGCCTTGATCCTGATTGAGTGCAAATTAATCGATCTCGCCTTTTTTCCCTCTTCGTCTCATTTTTCTTTACGCTCCTTTTTCATACCGCGTTTGAGAAATTTACGTGTTATATCCAGTGAAAAAGCTCGCCATGAAGTTCGAAACGATTAAAATCTTTCGTTATATAAACGCGCTGCGTTTTTCTTTATTAACGCCTTGATCCTAATTGAGTTAATTCACTATTCAAACGTACCACCTTCTCGCGTAAATTCGCCGTTAACCTGCAGCCTACGCACTTATCGCCTCTGTAATTTCTGCAGAGAACAATACTTTTCATTGAGTAGGTGACAATGATCTGTCGTGTGTTATAGCGGTTATTTGCTAATATATATGTATATATGACGTTACGTCAAGGAATATTCGCTTCTTTGCTTCGCCTTGAAAAAAGGATAATGTTCTATAAGCATAAGCGCTTGAGTGGACTAATGCGTGATAATATGGTAATTCAAGTAAATGTCACGATAACGTGTCCGCGGAAGATAATGTGTCCCTTCTTACGAAGTCGGCGGTCAGTAACAAGAACCTTTACCTTTTATTAGCGGAACTTGAAGCGATAACGCAGATAGGTCGCAGTACTTGCGAGCTTTTTCATAAAATAGAGCGTTGACCGATAAATTCTACCGCGAGAAAAATCTTGATTTTAATTATCATGATCGATGCCACGTCCGAGTTACATCACGTTACGGATTTAATGAGAAATGACGTCAATTACGATGATGGAAGGGAAATGCCGAGCGCTCGAGCGAAAGTGTGATGATAATGAGCATCGTACACTTCTGACTCGCTGCCGTGTCTTTATTGCGCATTGTTAAGCGCGCACGGGCATACCGAAGATAAATCGATCGCAAGGTCGGAATCTCGTAGGCGCGAGGATAATGACAGAATTAATTCGTTAGGCAATCGATTAAGCCCGCCTTGGCATTCTTTCCTTTTTTCCTCATACATAATGATTATCTTGCTAATTCGCCAACGAATAATAATATTGCATAAATATAAAAGCGCTGTTATTAGTTGTCAGCATTTAACACCCATTTAATCCCTCTTCAAAAGGGGGAAAAAAAAGAATGCTCGATTATTCTACAAAAAAATAATAGTGTAATATTTAAGATACTTCAGTATTCGCTTGGTATCTTTTACGAAACGACGTAAAGAAACTTCGGAAGCTGGTGTCTTCCTTTTTTTCCAATTCTCGCACTTTTCGTTTCCCACGTTCGCAATTTCGTTGCCCGAATCAGCGACAGGAGAATGGAATTTACGACGGGTAGGAACGTGCTGACGCATTTTTACTTTCCTGGCCCTTTCTCGTTCGCAGCGTAAAAATTTAATTGTCCGCCGAGTGGCCAAATTAGATTTTTTCCGCTTACTTTGTCACGGTGTCTCTCGGCGCGGAAGATAAATGGCGATTCCCTGGTAGCAAGACATTTATAACATTTGCACGTTTATTATCAGATTAATACAAAATTGGCGTGAATTAATCAATCTGACTAATTGTACACATTTATTGCGTTACAATGAATAAATAATATTGTACAATTCAGATATTTCAGACTTAAAAAAAAATAGAGGGACGGAATATATTTTCTTATTAAGTATTTCGTATTTTTATTAATACACACAAATATGTGTATGTGTGTATTTTGAATGTATTAATGGATAAATATAATCTAATACGATATTATCAAGTGTTGAGTAAGTCAGAGGCTGTGTTCCGATACAGAATGCAACTTTATCGACGTCGGGATCGGTACAAGAACTTGTGAGCCAACACGTGGCGTCAGCTACGGATCATACTGGAAACGTTGCAGTGTGGAAAAGTTGATAGTTAACATAGAAATCTACAATGAAATCGTGTCATATAATATCAACAGCATCAATTAACTCAATTTTATAATACATATTGTTAGTAGTCGATACTAATCGAGGCATTAGACAATACGATTTTTTTCCACGATTAGTAAACGTACTTAACATTTAGTCGGGAACAAATGGTCTTAATTTATAAGAAATTTATTATTGCGCTGAGTTTATAATTTTTTCAAATTTGCGCAACTAGCAAACTAAGCGTTAAATTTGACTATTTACATACTTATGTTTCGCTGGAACTGTAAAACATTTTCCTCGCTCCGGCAATATTTTATTAACGCGTCATTTCCTTTGACCCCTCGAAACGACGGACGGCAATGATTTCATGGCCGAAACGCATAAGCCGCCTCGTTCATTATCGCCGGTAATTAACGTAGCGTATTGGCGGCGAGGCCGTCACGATGCACGTTCCCAGTATCGCGTCAAGCTTTCTCCACATCGGATTCTTTCGATGCGCGTGTCGTCGTACAGCACACTATTAACGGTCATACACCCCCTATAAGGCAGGCACGCGAAGATCACGGTCGGATCGTCGTATATGGCTGTCCATTCGTCGGATCGTTGACCGTGCGCGACGTGATATCGCACTCTTCGGCCTGGCACTCGCCGCGCGCAGGCAAATTAATTTCCACTCGATGCCCGCTGAAAATTACTTTCTCCGTGTTCCGCGCGTAAAACGCGTAACGCTGTTCCGCGTGTCCGTCGCCTTTCGCGGATCTATCATAGTATAACTAGTAGGTTCGCACTCTGTCGGCTCTTTGATTTTTTCGACCCTGATCACTTTCTTGGACACTGATTAGTTGGAAAATTTTGTTATATTAACATACAAATTTGGTTCAACGAACATACGCAGAATCCTTTTATAATATTCAATTAAACAATTCAGCCAACAAAATGTTTCAATCAAATTGTTTCGTTTCATTCGACAAAATAGGTCTCTCAGTGTACAGTCTTATTCATTAATGGCTGGACCTCAGTTTTAATAGGATTCATATTTTCGTAATTTTATTTCTCATCTATGCATCGATGAGTGTTCAGGCTGTAGTTCACAGCTTCTATAGAAGTATGTAGTAGTACGGTCGTGGTCAGAAAGGTTGTCCGACTTTACAAGTTGTCGGAATATTCGTATCATTGCATAGATATTTGTACATTCCTTTGCTTTAATAATGCGTCACTGCACATATCCGTGAGCAAAAGCTCTAATCTCTCGCATGATAGACTATATTTGCGAAATTTATCACAAAACGTCGGACAACCTTTCTGACCACAACTGTACACTAGGAATCACTGATGCCTTCCATATGAATTTTGGCACAGGTAGAACACATATACATTTTCCATGCATGTATACGCAAAATGTATAAATGTCTCGGTATGTGCACAAACTTATGTGGGAAGGCGTCTGTGATTCCTAGTGTACGTACATACTTAGAGCCTGAAACTCAGTGATTTGTATAGATGATAAAAATGCAGATCCAGGCGTTAATGAATAAGACAGTACGTGCCCGCACAATTGACCGATCGGAGGCGCGTGACTTTTGCGGAAATTGCCTGCCCGGTTAATGCTCCCACGGGAGCCTCGCCATTCATTAGACGCAACCTCATGTGGAAATTAAGCGCTCGCTTTTTGCGACGATCTACCTGAGCGTCCACGCCGGTGGTCCGTATAGGCATCCATGGTTTGCCTCGGTTTCAACGCGCATTTAATTGCGAAAATCTACGCGAGTAAAGTAGAAACCATATCGTGTATTTCTCTACCGATTCCTCTGCCTTGCCAAGCCGGTATCTCTTATAAAATTTCAGTCTTTACATTTTTTAATTAACTTTCTTTTGATGATTGATTGAAGACCTAAGAAATAGAAGGGGTCGGGAGAAAATTATTTTATTTTATTTATATTCTTCTAAAAAGAAAATAAATATTAAATTGCACGAAATCATGCAACGTGTTTTACATTGAAGTTTTTGACATTTGTGTCTTATGGCTTTTTAAATTTTGTTTTGTATCATGTGTAACATTTTCACCTAAACATTGTGCTAACTTATCGTTGTTCTCGCAGCTATTCCATTGCGCTGACACGTCCTTTCGTGGCTAACCCTCCATTCTTAAATCTCACTTCTTTCCCACGTCTCGCCGACGAACCTTCATCTATCTTTCAGCAGAGCGACGCAACATTATCCCGACTAAATACCCGTAGCTCTTCCGTTTCGCGCTAAGTGGCCTGTGGTCTCATTCTACAAAAATTCACCCACTTGCGGTTAATTTATGAGTGCACAGTAGAGGCCGTAATTCCTTCGTTTATGTAACGGTTCGGTATGCACTTAAGCGCGTGATTAACGAAGATGCCGCGGCCTTCTTGGAGAATATCGTAGCGTTATTGAAAAACGATATGACTGCAATCAGTGTTTGTATTTCAACGAAAATTTATTTTACTTATCGATTTGTCCATACTCGGCTGATAGACAATTAAAAGCAACGTCGCGTAAACCCTTTGTTGATCTAGTAGTAATTTCCGCCACGTTTTCATACGTTTCACCGCAACTGATTGACAGCAGAAAATTTGCTACGAAACATAGCAGCCCGTCTGAGATTCTGCAATGTCATGAACAACACGGCGCGTGATGTGCCGCGCCGAGAAAGGGAGAAAGAGAGAGAGACGGGAGAGAGAGAGAGAGAGAGAGAGAGAGAAAGTGTTGCAACGTAACAGGAATTACACAACGAATTGAGTGACCGTCGCCAATACGATTTTACACTCACAAATTAACCCTCTCCCTTCGACTCGTAATGATAATTGCCGGCGCGCAGGATGGCGACTTTTCCGCACTATCAGTTTGCATTTTCTTTGTGACCGAGACGCATGGCGACGATAGGTCGCGTCGCATCCTACTCCAACTTGCTAGAACCGAGCATCTTCTACGGTTGCATAGTCACGTACTCTCTGTCTGCCGATTACACCTCGAAACT